TCTCTCTCTTCTCTCTCTCTCTCTCTCTCTCTCTCTCTCTCTCTCTCTCTCTCTCTCTCTCTCTCTCTCTCTCTCTCTCTCTCTCTCTCTCTCTCTCTCTCTCTCTCTCTCTCTCTCTCTCTCTCTCTCTCTCTCTCTCTCACTCTCTCTCTCACTATCTCTTTTAAATAAACGTCTAAAATGTATTCATTTTTGGTAAACGTCTAGAACGTATTCAAATTATATTCATGCTCCTTCCCCGAGATCAGAACGTTCGAGAAGCTCGATTGGGCTGGCACATGCGGGCGGTTTTCCAGCGAATGTGCGAGAGATAATCGACCTTATGATCGGAGGAATTGAAAGGCTCTTCATTTCCGCGTTTGTTTACTTTTGATATAATTCTCAAGTCTCGGAGAAGGATCGAGTTTCACTTTTTATTTTCCTTTTATTTTCTCTAGACTGTCTTCGTATACCGATGAGACGTCGTGTCTGTTTAATTATCTCTTTATCCTCTTTTTTTGTTTGTCTCTTCTCTCTTTCTCTGTCTGTCTTCTGTCTCTCTCTCTGTCTGTCTCTCTCTCTCTCTCTCTTCTCCTCATCTGGTGTGGAGAGTGTGTTGTGGGGAGGGAGTGGAGAGAGGGAGTAGTGTGTGTAAGTGTGTGTGGTATTTTATATGCGTGTGAAACAACTGTTATATATATATGTATTGTATATATATATATATATATATATATATATATATATATATATATAATTCCATAATAAATAACAGTAAAAAATGCTTCACATAACAGACATTGTATATGAAGCTTCTTCTTTTTATAGAGATAATTACATGCCATCAATTCAGAGCAGGGAACGTGTACGTCTGTCTGCATCATATATATTTTTCCCAGATTAAATTGCATTCCCTCTGTCTCATTAGATGATGTGGAAAAGAAAGAAAAACAAAACTGGATGTTGATATATTTAGATAAAGAATAAATAATATTTAGAGTCAAGTGAGGTTGCCATCCACCGTCTGGGTTGAGTACAAACTACAGTATAATGAGGTTATTAGAAGCTCGATTGCCCAATTTAAGTATGTTTAGAATTGGATTGAATTTCTCTCTAAGTGAATTAAATTATTGAAGCCTGATCATGGTACCTAGTTAGAAATCAGATACCGATATAGACAATTACTTTGAAGAAGCAATAACACTCAGGTTATTATCAGTGTTATTATTATAATTGGAATGATCGATTTATTGGTATTGGCTTGTTGGGTGGTTATTAATAGCGAAATGAGGATATACGTTAAAGTTATCAGAGCCATAGTGGAAGCGGCGGCTAGCACAGCAAAAGGCAGAAATTCAATATATAGTGGAGGGGATTTTAGTATGCAATGCTCGTCATGTTTCGGCCAAAATCTGACAAATGAAAACAGGATATCACTCTGAAATTTGGAATTTATAACTGGCATTTTTAGTTGGAAACGTTGTCGACCTTATGAAAGATTAAATGACACGAACGTAAATTCTGAAATACTGGAACATTCCATTTTATATAGCGTTACACTCTCATGCATATATATATATATATATATATATATATATATAATATAATATATATATATATATATTGGTGTGTGTGTGTGTGTGTGTGTGTGTGTGTGTGTGTGTGTGTGTGTGTGTGTGTGTGTGTGTGTGTGTAAGTGCATGTATGTATGTATGTATGTATGTATGTATGCATGCAGCATGTATATATATATATGCACATACATACATATGTATGTATATATATATGTATATACATATGCACTTACATACATATGATGTATACATATGTATATATGTATGTATATATATATATATATATTAAATGTATATATGTGTGTGTATACATACGCACATATATATGTATATATAATTTAGTACCTATTAAATAGTGCTTCTTGTGATGTATCATACTCTTTTATAATAAAATGTAATTGTTGTTACTGATGCCTCAACATATTTAACGCACAGCAAAATACAAATAGCTAAGGTAATGCCTGCACAGTCTGAAATATTCGCAGAAAAAATGACTTCAAATATCTTTACTAAACCTCGCAGCATCTAATCTTTACCATCTCCCTTTCCAGACTCCTTCGTCACCAAAAGGACCGGCCTGAGAGAAGAACTTTCAAGAAGGAAGCCACAAGGGAGGACAACTGTACCAGCGTTAATTAGCCTTAACGTTAATTAGCTCTTCTGACTTCGCAAGAGCTTCTGGTTACTCTTGTTTGGGAAGCGCATCCGGACCCCACGAAGATAATAGCATGATTAAGATAACAGATCGTTTATCCGGAGGAAGATGACACAGAGTTATCTTTCCGGTGGATGGAGATTGAGGAAACTTTTCGAAGACTGTTTCTGAAACGTTTTTTTCAGACTGTGAAACGTTTTTTCCCGACTGTGAAACGTTTTTTTCCCTGTGAACGTTTTTCCGACTGAAACGTTTTTTTTTTCCCGACTCGCGAAAACGGATTCGAAGCCGCGACATTACAAGGAGTATTGTGTGTTTTACATTTTGTTATGACGCGAACAGACACACCCTTTTGAATGCACGGGTTTCAAAATATAAGCAGCGGTTATTTATGTTCTCACACGTTCCGCTTTCCAATGGTAACGGGATATGACTTAATGCAAAAAGGAATTATTTGAAACTACTCTCAAGTGACCTCGTTCGAAGTGCCTGCAGTGGGAAGGGAAGATTGCGTGCCTTTAAGAAAGCATTGGTTGAGTGAACGTTATAGTTTAGGCTTGTGTGGTGCGTAGACGTGATAACTGACGATAACTGATAACCTGGTGGATAACCTGATAAATTCCGATAACCTGATAACTGACGATAACCTGATAACCTGATAAAGATAACCCTGGATAAACCTGACGATAACCTGATAACCTGATAACTGACGATAACCTGATAAATTCCGATAACCTGATAACTGACGATAACCTGATAAATTCCGATAACCTGATAAATTCCGATAACCTGATAACTGACGATTTTCTGATAACTGGTGCAGTGTTAACCCGGCAACGGTGCCTTATTGCAGTGCCCACTCAGTGTCGAAGCCACGGCGGTTGGATGGCGAGTGTGTTTCGTGCGTGTCTCGGTGCCTAAGACTCCTTGTGATTGCCTTGTATAGGGGGAACTACGGAAGAATTCGTCTGGGAAAGAGAAGATCGAAGAATAAACGAAAGAGAAGAAAGAAGAAAGAGAGAGAGAGAAAAAAAAAAAAAACACTAGAGATTACACTGTAGAATTCGTATGGGATAGAGAAGATCGAAGAGATAACGAAAGACAAGAGAAAGAAGAAAGAGAGAGAGAGTAGAGCTAAGAGATTACATTGTAGTAAAAATAGATTTACCGTGAAAGGAAAAAACACTAGAGATTATGTTGTAGAATTCGTCTGGGAAAGAGAAGATCGAAGAGACAAGAGACAAGACAAGAGAAAGAAGAAAGAGAGAGAGAAAAAAAAAAAACACTAGAGATTACATTGTAGTAAAAGAGTGAAAGGAAAAATCACTAGAGATTACATTGTAGAATTCGTCTGGAAGAAAGATCGGAGAGATAGCGAAAGACAAAAACGAAGAGAAAAGAAGGAAGGAAAGAAAAGAAAGAAAAAAAAAAAAAAAAACACTTGAGATTACATTGTAGAGAAAAATAGACTTACCTTGACTTCTGTCCTTCGATGAATATGTTCCATTCGCGACCGTCTGAACGAAACCGCTTCAGATATCTCTAGAAGGTCGACGGAAGGGATCTTGACGAGGCAGACTCTTCACCCTCGCGCGCTGACCCTCCTTGACCCGCCCTCAGGATGGTGCGCGTGTCGTGGGGCGGGGAGGTGGTCATCGCCGACCTCGCCCACGTGGCTGGCGACGGCGGCAACGGGGGCGACGGCACCCACTCCCGCCCACTCGATGTCACGACCACCTCGCCCACCGCCACGACCACCCCGACGGTCACGCCCACGACCTCCGCCACGCCCTCGGAGACGCCCACGATCTCCCCGGCGCCCACGGACTCCACCCCGCCCACGATATCGCCCTTGCCGCGGGCGCCGACGGCCATCGTGGAGGCGCTGTCGGACGGGGACGAGAGCGCCGTGTCCACCTCCTTCTCCGACGACCACCGATCGCTGCGGGACGACCTGCGCGACGACCTGAGCTCCCCGCGGCCGCGCAGCCCCAGGGCCAAGTCGGAGAAGAGCCGCCTCATTCGCATGGCCGACGACGACAACAACAACGGCAACTCCAACGGCAACGGCGACGTGACCATCAGCAGCGACGACTACCGGCGGTTCCTCACCCTCAAGGGCAGCCCGCCCGACGCCAAGACCAAGGCGGACATCAAGATCGCCCCGACGGCGCCGCCCGAGGACGACATCTTGACCTCGATGGACCGCATGCTGGCAACCCTCAGCGACCTGGAGGACGACCTCGAACCGATTGACGGCATAGACACCGAGTCCGACTCGGACATCGACGAGGCCGCAGCGAGGAGGGAGCTCCTGACGGATGTAGGTGGCGCTTGGTCCTCGCACTCTTCTTCTCCTTCTCTCTTCCTCTCATTCGCTTCTGATTTTCTCTCTCTCTCTCTCTCTCTCTCTCTCTCTCTCTCTCTCTCTCTCTCTCTCTCTCTCTCTCTCTCTCTCTCTCTCTCTCTCTCTCTCTCTCTGTCTGTCTGTCTGTCTGTCTTTAATTCCCTTTCTTCTCTCTCTTTCTGAAATGGTTCATATAGTTTAAAAATAAAAGTCGTATTTATTGATAACGAATTATCAGAAACGTGTTCTGGATATGAAGCTATGTTTTGTTGACACTGACTGATATTTCTCTTTTCAGAAATGGAGACAATTATTCGACAAAGTAAGTAACATTATTTGAATTGAAAATATACTTTAGTATCCCTTTTAATACAGTCAAAGTTCTCTACGTGCACCAAAGAAAACTAGTTTTAGGGTAAACTTAAACATAAATATTTGATTATGAGTCTTACGTTATATTTTACCGAGAGCAATTAAAGCAAGTTCACTAATGATTGATTGTAATCGTCAAGGTATTTCTGTTGAGTAAAGAAATACATATATATATATATATATATATATTCATTAGGGCTAGGAGTGACGTAAACAACCAAAAAGTCTTTTCCATTTGTCACAAACCGAACAGTTGTTCAACTAATTATCCATATTATCTTACATAAATGTTCACTTGATGACTACAATCTACTACCTTCTGATAAAAAATATCTGGGTTTAAAAGAGGCTTTTAATTGCTCTGCTACTCCAGTATTTAATTATATTTATTCCGTTGGGATGACCTGTGGAAGGAACGGATTTAAGGCGGAAAGATACGAATATATCAGAATAATATAAGAGAGATAGGATAAGGTAAAGTATTACATGGAATAAAGTAAAAGAGCCAACTGTTATGGGGAAGAGAATGTAACAGAAGCGAGAAAAGCTTGAATTAGCCACACACACACACACACACAAACACACACACACACACACACACACACATCAAAAAAATGGAGATCAGGGTTAAAGGTCCTTTTATTTATTTATTTTTATTTTATTCTTTTTTTTCGAATCGAATGAAGTGTGCAAGACAAAAGCCTGTGAATTTATAGATAATCAGACGAACTTTTTTGTGCGTAACTGTAACGGTAGTTTCACATTTTATCATAGTGTCTTTGGAGTATGTTATTAGCGCGAAGTTCATGTGTTTTTAATTTATGGCGTTTAGTGTACGAGTTTGGCGTTTAAGAGACTTTTCTTTTCTTTTGAAGTTGGTAGATGAGAACTAAGAACCATAACAATTAGGCAAATTTCGGTGATTAAATTAGAGAATAACGTTTTCTTTTATTTTACTCGGATCTTTGGATATAAATATTTTTTCGCATATACTTTGATAATTAAAGATATTTGATAATTATTCCTAGTAGTTTAGTAGCAGAAGTAGGACAGTACAGTAGTAGTAGTAGGTAGTAGTAGCTAGTAGTAGTTAGTAGTAGTAGTAGTAAGTAGTAGTAGTAGTAGTAGTATAGTAGTAGTAGTGCGTAGCAGAAGTAGTAGAAGTAAGAGAAGTAGTAGTAGTAGTAGTATGTTATTAGGTAGTTATCATAGCGGCACAGCGAGGCTACAAACGAGAGGTTACCCAATGACGGCGAAACGGGGGTTAGTCCCTTCCGATATCTGTCATAGTTTAGCAACACTTAATTTATTACCGAGACTAATTGGTCATTTAACGATTCCGTTACTCATGGCAGAGTCGTTGGCAAGACATTTATAGTGTATTGTTGGAAATTTCGTCGGAAAGAGCCATTGTTCTTACGATGGAGGAATAAATGGAACAAGGTGATTTGGAACCGAAGTGGCAGTTGGGTTCTTTGACGATTTAGGAAGGAGAGTTAATGATGATGATGTTAAAGATGTGATGTAAAACGAAGTAGCGGTTTAATTGTTTGATTTTTTGACAATATAAGAAGCGCGTGTAATGATAATGGTAATAATGATATGATGTGAAAAAGTAACAATTTAATTCCTTGACAATGCAGCAAGTGGAGTTAGAGATAATGGTATTAATTATATGATGTAAAACAAGTTGCGAATGAATTCTTTCACAATATAGGAAGTGAAGAGAATGATAATGGTAATAATATGATGTAATTCCTCGATTCAGCTGAAAATAGACTTGTGACGATTGCGAAGGAGTCAAATATATACGAAACGATGCTTAGACAATATAGAAAAAATATATATACCTCAAAATAGACATATAAAGAGCTGAATAATCATATAAAGATGATGTTACTGAAGCGGTTTGTCGTAGCTTGTCATGGAAGCTTTTTAAGTTCCTGACATATAAAAGGATAAAATTATCAAAATAGATGAACGACATCAACAATAGTAGCAGCAGTAGTAAATTATAGTGGTATTAGTAGTAGAAGTAGTAATAATAGTAGTAGTAGCAGTAGTAGATGTAGTAGTAATAGTATTAGTAGTAGAAGTAATGATAGTAGTAGTAGCAGTAGTAGTAGTAGTAGTAGATGTAGTAGTAGCAGTAGTAGTAGTCGTAGATGTAATAGTAGATGTGGTAGTAGATACAATAGTACAAGTATTAATGAATAACTGGAAAGAAACCGATTAAAAGACCCAATTTTTCCATCACCCACCTTCCCTGTACACCCCCCCCCCTTTCCATCTACCTTCACGATAGACGAATCAAATAAATCACCCCCCACCCCTTCTCATTCCTCTCCTCCCCCTCCCCCACCAGTGTACAGAAAGGGGTAAGGCGTGGGATGGAAGCGTTGGGGTGGCCCCATTGCGGGCGTGCTTCTCATTCCGCCTCCACTCCCCCTCCTGCCCCCCTCCCCACCAGTGTAAGCAGAAAGGGGTAGAGGCGTCGCGGAATGGAAGCGTCGGGGGTGGCAGCCGTTGGAAGCATTTGCGGTGGTTGGAAAAGTTGAGAAGTTTGCTGTGAGGGCAAGACGGCAGATGTTGGGAGGGGGTGGGGGGGAGAGAGGGTTTAAAAAAAGGAAATGGGTGGATTAATGCTTATTGTTGATGATAAATGATGGTGTTAAATGGTATTAATGATCGATGGTAGTAAATGGTAATTCCATGATGATGATGGTCTCAGTAATGGTAATTGGCTCAGTGACGAAGCATAAAGCAGTAAATAAATGATAGGGATGAGATGACGATTTATAGATAATAAGACGAATATTATGGTGGTTAGGTAATGCAATAAGCAATTAAAATTGATGAATGGAGCAGTGAGAATGGAATGAAGTGATAAATTAAAAAGGACGAAATGATCAGTGCAAGTCGTAGCTGAACATATGTCACGACGATACAAGATACGGATACGTGGCCACAGAAGCGGCAAAAAGTAAAGAAAAGTAAAGATAAAATAGATTAAAAAAAATACATAATAATTACAAAAATCCTATAAGTAGCTAGGTGACAGGTGGTAACCCTAGATGAATCAGTCTGGCTAGACTGATAGAGATACTATTACGTCTGATGCAGTTCGTGTGATACAAGAGAGCGCGTGCGTATATCTCCAGTCGCTATGTGAGCATGAGGGTATCGGTAGATAGTGATCAGAGTGCTGTGTGGATGTCTCTGCTGATATTATGGGACTTGTGGTCTGTGTGCTCGCGAATGTACGCGCAGCGATACACGGTGTCCTAGGAGCGAGCATCGATCACTCGAGAGTACGGCTCAGATTCCAGGTCAGTGATAGATTGTCTGTGACCGTAGTTCTCGCGAGATATTCTCTCTGCGCTGCACGATATCGTTGTCAGCGGATCGATCGCACGATTGTGGTGATATGAGGGTTCGCGCAGCGCAATGGCACAGTGTGATCGTGGTTTGGTGTGTAGCGCATACGTTCGGTCCGGTCAGATCCTGCCTGTTGATCGCTTGCATAGGTCACGATATGGGTCATGAATGATGAGATGAGAGCACGATGCCAGAAGTTTAGCATGCGGATCGTAGTGTTAGATGATAGCAGCATGCGCGAGTGGAAGCGCAGTGTGTGTGGATGTCACCGCTCGAGCAAGCTGATCGTCTACTAGATGTGACTATGATGTGACGATATGGGAGGTCTAGTGTGTGCTTGAGATCGAGCTATCTCTCTGTGATTGTACAGATAAGGCCAGGGTGTAAGCTCTCTCTCACGTCTTGAGTACAGCGCGGCCGTTAGAGTCTCGATTCGCGTTGACTTGAGTGTGTCTAGCATCTGATCTGTTGTATAGCAGCGTGCTGAGACATAGCCGCGAGATCTCGTTGTGTCGCGTAGAGCTGTCGCATACTGATTATAGCAGATCAAGCGATATAGCCATAGGATAGCGCGTTATACACTGTTCTGCTAGCGCATGGAGCTCTGATGTAAGATATCTTGCAGTTGTCTCTTCGATGCTTTCTAGATACTAGATCATGGATATTAGTCTCTATGATGTATGTCAGGCTTGTTGCTATATTGAGCAGTCAGCATGTCACACGTTATCTGCGCACCTAGGCATCATGGCATATTATACGTACAACGTAGAGTGAGCGATTCTATCGCTGCTCTTCTATCGAATACTCGCGCTCGCTCCTTACGCGCTCGCTCGTGGGCCCGTGCTCGAGGTGCGCATACAGATTACGCTTGATATTATACGGCTGTGTCGCCAGTCTGTGAGATACGAGGATATGATCTGTCACTCTCCAGTATCTGACTTTATACTGCTGACGGACTGTACATATAGTATGTGGCTGAATGAGTGATGTGTGTATGTGATGCATCACTGAGATATACGAGTAGAGACTCTCAGTCGGACTAGCGGTAGTCACACGCAGGTACGTTACGTGCGCAGATTTGATCACGCACGCTCTCTTGCTGTGTGCATGGATGTGTGTAGTGAAGCTAGATGTGCACGGATAGATTGTGCTTGTAGTCAGCATCAGCCTCGCGAGCCTGTGACTGCCGTCGTACGCGCGGAAGTGCCTGGTAGATTCTACGCATATGCTTGTACACGCGTATTCAGTGAGATGCGCTTGCTATGATCTGCTTTCGTACTCGATGGGCATGTACGGCCTCAGACACCACGGACTGGTATCTTATAGCCTCTGCCGATAGATCTATATGGATGGAGCATACACAGCCACGTAAGTTCTTGCCTTCGTAGATCTGAGTGCGCGAGAGCATATCGGCTGGCTGACTGGATTATCTATACGTTCTGTGACTAGCTCTGGATGTAGTAAGATTGTTGCTGGACTGTATATACTATTACTACTAGCTACTAGACCACCACAATCACATAACTAGCTAATCAGCTAATTACTATTACTGCTTACAGCTGTACACAACTTATTACTTCTTACATAACTTCAGCTTTCTTAATACTTAATCCTATAACTACTTGGGCTCCATCAAATGTTTCCCAAAACTACAGTAAACATTCGAGTTATTTGAAGCCCAAGCCTGCACAAAGTTTA